AAGGGAAAGGGAAAGGGAAAGAGAAAAAAAAAACAAGTGCTAAGCTAACGACGTGTTAGCCAGCAGCTACAAGCATGGTTTCAGTGTCCGTTGTTGTCGTAGCGCGAAGCAGTGCCCGGCCGGACGCGCCGGTGAATGCCAGCCCCGTTTGGTTGTTGAGTCGTACGATACTTAATCCCTCATAAGAGATACCAAAAGGGTGGCGAGGGCAGGAAGACGAAAAGGCGAGCGAGCCGAGGCAGCTACAGCGGCCACTCACTAACGCTTATTCCTACACGCATTTGATGTTACTACACCATGACACACCACACAGAACCAGAGACAAAGAGCTAAGAGACGCGCAACAACAAGATGTGGACACAAAGCCCGAATAGCCCGGTAGAATCTCTAAAAATTTCATGCAAGGAAAGGCGAGGCTTACGAGCTTGCCTCGGCTGCAGCCGCGCACTCGACCTGGCAGAGAGGAAAGAAAAGGAGCCAACGGGGTCCAGTCGGGTTGGAGGCCCCAAAAGGGCCCCAACGCCTCCAGCCCTGAATGCGACTTGTTGCGAAGCGTAGCAGGCATCACGCCTTGCTAGAGTTGAGCGGAGCCATGCTGGTCGGGCAGGCATGGTTGCCTTCGCAAGTACACTGCGGCCGTTCTCTCAAATGCGTCGGCGTGCCCCCTGGTACAGCACATGTCCGTGCTGCCAGGCGGCCCACATCCACGACGTGATTGGTCGCTAGCTGCTCGGGTACGCAGTTGCAGTGGGACTCGTCCGGGCGCTGGCCTGAAAGGAAGCGCGTTATATTTAGCACAGTGGCCGGCGTACCAGAGATTGTGACACGGTGTCGTTTTCTAGCTGCTAGCTATCGCTTGAAGGAACCGCGCTGCCAAGCTCGAGCGAAGCATCCCACCGAATGCAAAATCTTCAGCAGCACTCCCGAAGGTAGCGCCTGGAGGACAGGTGAAGCAATCCGAGCGGTGCACTAGGGCACCACTGCACGATCCGCACGTCGGGCAAACCTGCGGCTCTGGATGAATCTTATCTTGATTCTGCTGCTATATTAGCCCGGCGGGGATACCAAGCACCGCGAGACTTGCGGAGCAACCGAACTACCAAGACGAATTGTCCTGCCCATCTGCAAACACGACCCGCTAAAAGTAGGGCTGAGTGTGTTGATGGATGCAGCAACTGCTCCAGCTGGTTGCCTGCACATCTTCGGCTAGTTGTGGTGTTTTCATGAGGATGGGTGGAGGGCGGCTCGTTCTTTGGCTTAAGCTGCCACGTCGGACTGTCAGATGTTGTCGGTGCTTCCGAATCCGACCCTGGAAATGATGTATTCGAATAGGGCACGAATAGCAAAAGGGTTGCAGAGCAACAACGGAACAGGCCTGCGACTTCTTGCAGATTTCGTGGCCCGTGCCAAGGTAGCAAGCCACTTCCTTCGAATAAATGCAAAGCGTAGTAGTCTCGGCATGGCTAACATCTGCATTTAACACTGCAACACCATCTGAAACATTTCCTTCGTAGACAACCACTCGAGGCGGGAGACAGAAGGCATGCTATATCAAAACTCACACGCCTCAGTACCGGCTTCCCCGTGCTGAGCACAAGCTGCTGCCTTCTTCGGATCGAAACACTTGTAGCCCTGCGAATGCATCCAGGTGCAGTTGCCTGCCACGCTAGCATCATAGCCCAAGCATACTGCAAGTCTGCGATGCTCTGAGCCAAACTAATCGGCTTGCGCGTGCTCTCTTGCACAGGACACTGTCAACCGCAGCTCGCGAGGCCTGAAGGGCACTGAGCTGGGCACGCCTGACCAAAGAGGGGCCGGTCCGGCTTGAGGCTGGAGCTACAGTTCCTATGAGTCGAAAGTGCCTCCACAAATCAACGTTTGCTTCATAATGTCAAGTCAGCAAACGGCAGCAGCCCGCCTTGCAGCATGTCTCGCTGATGGTAAAGCCGCCATCCCAGCACTCGGTGCAGTTCACCGCCGCAGCAGCGCCCAGGCCTCCAAGTGCTAAAAAATGTCAGCAGTCAGCTGAGCCTGCCACCGAGTTACGAGCATGCGCCCATGCATTTGCCCCTTTGCAACCTCACTGCTTTGCAATCTTCTTCTACATCTTCTCAAGCCGGCAGGACAAGGAGGGAGTCTCTACATACTGCAAAGCGCTCCCGCATCACTCGGGCTTTGGAGAAACGGAAGATGAAGCGTAGTCCAGGCTCTCTCTCCGCCCGTCCTCCCTTTCAATCTGCCAAGTGTCAGTGCCTTCCAGGCTTGCTACGACGACTTCACTTAAGTGGAGGACGGAGACTTGCAACCTCCTGACTGACCCAGCCGACCAAGTGGTTATGCATCTCTTTACTGCTTGCCCTGTGCCTCCCCTGTGCCTCAACTCTCGTAAACATGCGCTTGTCCGAAATTTTGAAGGCTGAAGGATTTATTGTCCCGGGTCCGCCGGCTTCCTACTCAACCCTGGCCTGCAGACAACAGGAGCACGTGCAGCGACATGAGCACTCGAATTGAGGGCTGAGGCATGGCTGGAGTATTCCTGATGTGGCTCCGGCGAGAATCTCTTTGTGCAACAAGCGCCCTTCCATGCCATGGCCTACGCGCTCCTGCCCATAGCAACACTGGAGCCAGCAAAGCAGACATGATGGCGAAACATGTTGACTCTCCTGGCATGTGATCAATGCATACCAATGCCAAACCTTTGCACAAGCCGCCCCCAAGCTTTGTGGTGGGGCTATGTACATTCTTACATCATCGCCTGCACTAGCAGACTTCTACCTGCAAAAGAAGGGGTATGCTTCTCTTGCGCGGGTGGGAACGAAAGCGCAGAGGAACGGCGCCTCTTGAATCTCTGTTGGGCAAGTAATTCTCCGCTGAAATCCCAACTGAATTGCTCGGGGGCCCCGGGGCGCCTTCCATGTTTCCCACAAACAGCCGTACCCAGAACAACTAGCAAACACACAACGCAACATCACAAAAAAGCAGCAATGAGCAAAAGTGGCTTCACTGCCTCTCAGCTTCGGGGCTGCGGCAGCCACTTCTGCAAGACTTCTCCGAGAGGCAGGCAATCTTCGTCCTTGCAGGCTGAAGCCGGTGAACATGCGACGTCCCTCTGCGACTTCCTGCGTCGACGCTGAACTGCAATGAGACTCTCAAAGCCGGCGTCCTGCAGCGCTGTGAGGCCCTGCGTGTTCCTGCACAACTTGTAGTGAGTCTTGGCCCGTTATTATCCGAGTACTTTGAGTGCGAAAGCCAAAAGGGGAGTCTGGGAGGAGTGTGAAAGTCGCGTATGCCGTCACTGAGTGGAGGAGTGTCGAGGCGATCACGAATGTATCGCATCCGCGAAATACTACTGAAAGACGGTGGCCTGGTTGAGTCCGAAAGGAACTCCCGCTCGTACCTGAGGTTTCTATGAGCAATGAGGCGAGGCCAAGAGCTCAGCGAAGAGCAGGGGCACTCCTTATCGTAAACGCACACCTTCAGTCTGCGTGCCTCCATGGACACAGGGAATCTATGTGGACTCATTGCATGCCGGGATTGGAGACCTCCTGCAGTGTCTCAGAGTATGGCCTCCGGAGGAACCATCGGAGAGAATGCGTAGATGTTGGCCACCAAGAAGATCACGCCAAGCACCAAGGTTCGCCTCAGGCTTGGTGGGCCAAGGTAGGCAGCTGAATCTAGAACTCCTTCTTCTGGCACGGCACCGCTCGCTGCACAGTGCGCATGCACCATGACATGTAACTATTGCTGTTCTTTTATCTGTTACCAACACATCCCCAGCCAGCCCGCCTGACAAGCCACTGTCAGGCAGACCTGCGACAACAGACCTTCCTCCCACAACCACAACGCAGGTCAGATCTTCATCCTTCAGGCCTGCTACATGGTTGCAGACGTACACATGCACTCAGCACTGCACTTGTTCATCGTTGATCTAAGGCAATTTCAGCTTGATCAAGATCAACTCAAACCGTTACCATGCACGCTTACTCAGGCATGTCGAACCTCCCTGCTATCGTCAGAAAATGCTTCGAAATCGGCTAGTGCCTAGTGTGCATCGTGGATTCTCTCTTGCCAGCTGTCTGGTTGCGAGCACAGCAGCTGATTGAGGTCCTCTGTGTAGTCTCGACCTCCATCGGCCGCGCGACTCACGGCCACAACACGCCTTCACAATGCTTGAGAAAAGAGGAGACACTGCAGCAGATGCATCAGATGAGAAGGTTTAGATGTGAAGAAAACAAGCAGCAAATCTTGAAAGATAACTTTCAAATGAAAAGCCGACAAACATGACAAACTGAACCCCCAAAGGATCTGAACCGGAGGCTTGATCCTTGCAAAGATCTGCACGTGATTTGCGAACTCACCTCGCCTCGCTGGCGCGGGAGCTGTGAAAGCAAAGGGAACGATCTCGGCTTATCGGGGAAGGCATGCTTATGATGAGTCTCCAGTCTCCATGCGACAGTGCGGCTGATTCTGTCATCTCAGCACTTGCTACAAGAGCTTCTGCAAAAGTGCCGCCGGGTGGCTCCAAGCAGAGACAGAGCCAGCAGGCGAGCCAACCGTCTGCATGCAAACTCCATGACCGGCAGCTCTTGCTCGGTGCAATGTCTCTCAGAACGTTGAATTCTGTTACCTGGCCTGGCATCACCCAGGGCCGGTAATTGAAGGTTCCTGACTCCTCCCTGAGTGCTTTCATGTCAGCGTGCCAGTTCGGCCAACTGCTTGGATAACTGGGATACATCACACGCAAGAGGCCTCCAAATACAGTCAAACTCAAAGGCTGCAACATTGCGGCTCGTCGCTTGTGAACGGGTCACGGATGCTCTGTTCGGCCATATTCCGCCCAATGCTCGACTCGCATTGCTGCTTTTGCGCCCTCAACGCCGCATCTGCGCATCGAACGCGGCTCGATTCTTGAGCAGCCGAGACCATCCTCCAAACGCATCCAAAGCGATGTCCCAAAAGCGTTGTGTTTTCAACCATGAAAACTTCAGTACAGGATTTCATTGGCGTCATCATCAACAACAACAACATGACCCCGATGAGGATCCTGATGACCGTGATCATCATCGCCATCAGCATCACAAACCCTCCACACACCCATGAACACCGAGAGAGCCGCAAAATTGAAACGATTGTGAAGCAAATGAAATCGCGTCACAACCGCTGCAAAACGACGCAAACGAGGCACGATCAACCAGACGCACGAGGAGAGTTGCGATTTCTGTGAAGGCGAAATCGTTCGGGACCAGTATGATGAGAAGAGATTTACGACGAGAGGGCTGCGAACCACAGACCCAAACCGTGCCGAAACCGCAATACAGGGAAGCATATTGGCGGATCAGGAGGCGGGCAGTGTTTGCCACTGATCAGGCCCATGCCTCAAACAAACTACATTCACGCAACATCTAGGCATCACACCAAGCTGAGCAGTCCGCTAAAAAACCCTTGGCAACGCTTTCGGGAAAACTCCACTTTAAAAACGGCTGGCTGCGCTCAGAGTCGGAGCACCAGAAGTTTCAGAAACTTGTGGTGCATACTCATATAGTAAATAGATGTAAGCAGCATACCTGGTACTGGTAGCAACTACCCGGTCGACAAATAGTCTCCTTCTCCAGCCCTTAAACTTTGCTCTGCAGGGCAGAATGGATGAACCATGCCCGCAGCAATCCAACGAACTCCGAGGTCCACGGAGCACAAAGCCGCGTGGTAGCCTTCGGTGCCTTCGGTCTTTCGGAGTCTCTCGGCATCTTTGATGCCGGGATCTCTCGGCATCTTCACAACCTCTCTGTACACAGGAAGCTCCCCACAAAAGTGCCCACAAAGCACCTTCCGCACTCCCAATAAGACATCGTAAATGGCTCTGACTCAGACTCATTGTTGGAGTTCGCCCACGAAAATCTCGGACGACACATCTTTGCAGGTCCTCACTGTAGGCTGAAAGACCAAAACAGGACGACAACTTGTCGGGACGAGAGCTGCATCCAGCTTGTCTTCGGCTCCCTGGACATTGCATGATCCTGCTTTGACCGGCCGGAAGCAAGAAGATAATAGCAATCAAGATGCACTGTGCTTTCTGCTTTCCATTTGACAGGGCCGTTGGCTTCCTCCGACAGCAGCAACCGCAGCAGCGCATGCCTCAACCATGCTACCATGAGGGTGGTGACTAGTTAGCCAGAAGTTGGCCTATACGCTGAAGAACCGGTAGTACAGGCTTGGCAACATGAACTTTAGGTTACACAAGTTACGGGTAAGTCAACGAGCAGATGCTGGACCACGTACGACTTGTATTCGGAGCGAAGCCAAGACTTGCAGGACTTATAACATCGTTGACTCGCGCCATCTCTTGGTGGTTCGATGGATACTAGCCATCGTAGTCATATTCTTACGAATAATAGTACTAGCAATAATTATTACGCTAGTCGGATGTCCACGGCGCCGCTTCGCCGGGCTCAGGTCCGAGGTCTTGCTGAAAGCACTCTGCATCGTCAGGTTTCGTCGCTTGGCGAGGTGAACAGTGAACAGGTCAAAAACTGCTTCCTGGATGCATTGCTTGCAAGATGACAAGCACCTGTTGGCAACTGCTTCGTTCAATATCACAGCGGCAAGTCTCGTTTCACGCCTTGAAGAACACGCTTGCAGACAAGGACCTAGTATCGACTCGACATGGTATCTTGTCAGTCCTGCAACCGAACGTTTAATGGCCGGTCCAGAGCTTTATAATCAGCTGATAGTTTGATGAAGCGCTTCCGCCCCAGGCTGCTGATGGATTCTCCAACTCTATCCAATTCTGCTGAGCAGCACAAGAAGAACAAGAAGAACCTGAGCTGACAAGGAATGGACCTGACTTGACAGGACCGAGACACGGTTCACAGAAGCAGTAGGAAAACGCCTTGATACCATCTAGTCGGATGCATCTTGCAATGCCGTGGCG